TATTTAATTTAAATTTGATTAAATAAAAGCCATAATTTAAATTATTTAATTTAAATTTGATTAAATAAAAGCCATAATTTAAATATTTAATTTAGATTTGATTAAATAAAAGCCAACAGCTGCGCAGCTGCAGCTTTCCTGCACTTACGCAAACATGCAACTTGGCTTAATGGCGAAAAACAGAAGAATAAAACGCAAAACTATTGATTTATAAACACAAAAAAACATAAAAACTCTTTTTTTTTAATTAAAAATGTTTTTTTTAATTAAAAATATTTTTTAAAATTAAAAATGTTTCTTTTTAAACAAATATTTCTCATTTTCTTCAGAAAAAAATGCATGCATAGATTGGAGTGCATGCAGTTGCCCGCTGGGCTCTCAAGAATGGCCCTGAGAAGCTGTATACACCTCAGGAAGCAGCACAGATGAGTGTTGAAGAAGTTTGAATAAGTTTGAAGAACTAAATGGCATTTTAAGTTCTTTTTTAGCAGATTTATAAATTAAAATGTTCAACATTTGCATGCACAAGTATGTTCTGCATATCTAAGCCAGCCTGAGTTCAAGTTCGTGAGCAGTTTTGCAGGAAAGCACTGCAGGGAAATCTGCAATACATTCCCATTTGCTGCACATTTTGCGGATTTCTTGCGGATTTGTTGTCAAATTCATAAAAAGAATTAACTAATTTGTGCAAATACACAAAAAGAATAACATTTTTGTGAAATTCAACAAGTAGTTTCGTGGTTTCCGAGGGCCAGCGAAGTGAACTCGACGGCCCACTCGCTGGGCTCCCTCAGCCTTCCTTCGCGGCTCTGTCTGGCCCTCTCTGTCTTCTCTTTAATAGAAATGAATTAAAATGTCTTCGGGACTTTTCAATTTGCAGAAAAGTTCGAATCTAAAACTTGCATTCCTTTCCCCCAGTTGCAGTGTATGGCCATGTACACCCCAGTGGGCCGTTGGTGCTGTGCAGATCGGCCCCGCGGCACTCCCCAGCGGCCAACTGCCGCCAATTCTTTTGAATTTTGGAATATTTGAATTTAAATTAATAAATAAAAAAGAGTAAACAGCAAAGAAATGTTTGAACGAGCCCGCAGCAGCAGCAGACGCGAGCTGCCGTGTGCCGATGGCTCGGCGGCCGCGGAGCGTCTGCCGCTGCTCTCTGCTGCTCTGGTGTTGTTCCTCCGGTTTGAATTGAATAATTTGTTTGTTAAAGAAATAAATTGTTTGCTAAAGAAGTAAAAAGTGAATTTGTTTCGAGTTTACAGGTTAGACCGCAGAGGCAAGCCGGAGGCTTTTCCGTGGGCCAGTGAGCTGCGTGTCGTCTGCGGGCGCCGCCACCTCCCCGTTTGCCCATATCTCTCTGTCTTGCCGAGCTTTTCCTGTAAATTCCACTTTTATTTTCTTTTTTAAATTTAAAGAAAAGACATAATCAGCCTAACTTCTCTCTGTGGCCGCAGATCGGCCCTGCAGCAGCAGCAGCAGCAGCAGCAGCAGCAGCAGCAGCATCGACGCTTCCCGCGCAGCGAACAGTCGCCCGCAAAGCCCAAAGAGGACTTGAAGGTTTTAAAAGAACAAAAGAAGACATTTTTTGCTTTTTATATTTCAAGAACTTGAAAAGTGGCAGCTTTTGACTGCGCGCAGCCCCTCGCAGCGGCCTCGCCGTTGTCTATCTTCAGCTGCTGCTAAACTGGCAAAGACACTGCAGCAGAGAGCCACAGCTGAACCTTCTTGCTGCAGCAGCAGCTGCAGCAGCAGCTGCAGCAGCAGCTGCAGCAGCAGCTGCAGCAGCAGCTGCAGCAGCAGCTGCAGCGGGCCCTGGGCAGTTTGCTGCTGCAGCTAGCTGCTGGGCGCGCAGCTCTCTGTCTGCTGCTTCCAGAGTTGAAAAAGACTCCAAAAGGACTTCAAAAAAAGGACAAAAGTTGAAAAAAATTCCAAAAAGACTTCAAAAAAGGATTAGAGTTGAAAAAGACTTCAAAAAGACTTCAAAAAAAGGACAAGAGTTGAAAAAAACTTCAAAAAGACTTCAAAAAGACTTCCAAAAGACTTCAAAAAGACTTCAAAAAGGCTTCAAAAAGACTCTGCATGCAAAGAAAATGCCTTTAATGGCTGCGGAAGAAGTTGGGGGTCTGGAGCGGCTCGCGGGGCAGCTGAGGTGTACGTACACCGCACTCTGCTGCTGCAGCGCAGCACTGCTGCCTTCAAATTTTGTGCTTTTTTGCTTTTTTTGTTTATTTTTTTAATTTTAAAATGCAAAAATGCACTTTTGTGTCTCCATAATATCTGTGTAGTTGGGCTGCGGTGTCTGGACACCACAACAGGCTTTCCTGCATGCTCTGTTCCACTTCTCTGTCGCACCTGCTGCTGCTGCTGCTGCTGCTGCTGCTGCTGCTGCTGCTGTTTGCAGCTTTGAGGGACGAGGAGCGCCGTTTGCTGCAGACCTGGGGCTGCCGCAAGTGAGGCTTTCTTTTGCTGCTGCAGCAAAGCAGCAGTTTATTACTTAAGTGGCCGCAGCCCCAAACCTGGTTTGCTGCAGCTTGCTGCTTCCTCTTTACCTCTAGACTCTGCTGCTGCGGTTTGCTGCTGCTGCGGTTTGCTGCTGCAGCAGGCCCGTGGAGCCCCGCCGGGGGCCCCACAGCAGCAAAACTCTGAGGGGCCCCCGAAGTGCTTCTCTTGGAGGGGCCCCGCAGCCTGTGGGGTCCTCTGCAGCAGAGAGAAGTGCTGCTTCTCTCAGCAGCTTGAGAAGAAGGTCTTGTGTGAGTCATTTTGGCTAGCTAGCTGCGTGGCTAGCTGCCTAGCTAGCCAAGTGGCACCTAAGTGGCTGGCTGATTGGCGCTAGCTAGCTAGCTAGCTAGCTAACTGGCTAGCTATTTGGCTAGCCAACTTGCTAGCTAAGTGGCTAGCTAGCTAGCTGGCTCACTGGCCCGCTAGGCTAGCTAGGCTTCTTGCGTTTTGCTTGACGATCAAGCTGCCTACTGAGGCGGCTAGCTGGCTAGCCAGCTAGCTAGCTAGCTAGCCAGCTAGCTAGCCAGCTAGCTAGCTAGCTAGCCACGAAAGCTTTGAAAGGGCTGGCCAGCTAGCCACTGTGGCTGCGTCTGCTGCTGCAGAGGAACTTGGGCCTGCGGGTGCGGGTGATGGAAAACTGCAGCTTCCCTTCCGCCTCAAACTCCTCCCTTCTCAAGGCCCCAAGCCCCACCAGTAAGTCTATTGTGCACGCATGCATGCATGCATGCATGCATGCGTGCATGCATGCATGCATGCGTGCATGCATGCATGCATGCGTGCATGCATGCATGGGTGCATGCACACTAGATTTGCTAGTGGGCATGCATGCATGCAAGCTGCAGCACCATGCTAGCAGCAACAAAGCAGCAGCTGCAGCGCGAGTGAAAATTTGTTCACTGAGGCTGAGCTGGCACTCTAAGAGCTTCCGCAGGGGCAGCGGCTGAGCGAGAAAGCAGCAGCAGCAGCAGCAGCAGCGGCAGCAGCAGCGGCAGCAGCAGCGGCAGCAGCAGCAGCAGCAGCGGCAGCAAGATCATTTTGGCAGCAGCAGTTCACAGAGGCAAACAAAAGCATGGGGTCTTTTCTTTGAAAGCATTTGTCCTTTGTGTGTTCTCTGCTGCGCCTCAGATGGTATAGCAGCAGCAGCTAACTGGGGCGCTGGTGCTGCTGCTGCAGCACCTGCAGCAGCAGCAGCAGCAGCAGCAGCAGCAGCAGCAAGAGGAAGTGGCCTTTCACCCCTTGTGCACAGCAGCTCTGTCCCAGCTGTCTGTACATACACCCCAAAGTGGCAGGGGAGAAACAAAGAAAACATTTGTGGGGCCCTTTTGAGTCTTTCGGAGAAAGAAGCAAAAGTTGCTGCTGCAGAATCATTCTGCAGCAGCAGACTGTCTGCTGCTGCAGAACCATTCTGCAGCAGCAGACTGTCTGCTGCAGCAGAATCATTCTGCAGCAGCAGACACAGGCAGCAGACTGGCCCGGAGCTCCAGGGGAAGCAGCAGCGCGCCGAGGTGCAGCACACGCAGCAGCAGCTGCTGCGGCTGCAGCAGCAACGGCAGCAGCTTCTGCAGCAACGCCAACAGCAGCAGCAGCAGCTGCTGCTGCTGCGAATGCCGCAGCAGCAACCAAATCACCTGCACATCAAGGTAATGGCTCACTTCTTCATCCGTAGCAGCACGAAGTCTGCTTGTCTTTGTGTGTCCTTTGAGCTGCAACCAGCCTAGGCAGCAGCAGCAGCAGCAGCAGCAGCAGCAGTAGCAGCAGCAGCAGTAACAGCAGCAGCAGCAACAGCCAACATGTGACCGTACAAAACGTATGGGGTTGATGCGTGTGGACTCCGCAGGACGACAGAAACTTCTGGGGCGGGAGGCGCCAGCAGCAGCAGCAGCAGCAGCAGCAGCAGCAGCAAGGAGCAGTAGCAAGACCTAGACACACAGTGAGGCCAGCAGCAGCCACGAAGACACACACCAGAAGCAGCAGCACAGCCAGCAGAAGCAACAGCCGCTGCTACCAGCAGCTGCAGCAGCAGCAGCTGCTGCTGCAGCGCGCGACTCACAGAGCTGAGGGGCTATTGCTTGACGCATATTCTCCAGTGAATGAAACGAGCAGCTAGCTAGCTACGTAGCTAGCTGGCTAGCTACGTAGCTAGCCAGCTAGCTAGCTACGTAGCTAGCTGGCCAGCTACGTAGCTGGCTGGCCGGCTGCGTAGCAAGCCAGTTAGGTAGCTAGCTGGCTAGCTATGAAGCTAGCTGGCTGGCTCCACAGTTAGCCAGTCACATAGCTAGCTAGCTAGCTAGCTAGCTAGCTAGCTAGCTAACTACTTGAATATAAAACTGCCTTCCTGTGACTCTCTTGCTTTGATTTAACAGACTGTGACTGAAATGGGAGACAAAACAGCTGCATGCAAAGAGCAGCAAGAAGGCCTTAGCAAGCAGCCAACTGTGCAGCAGCAGCTGCTCGAGGCCCAAAGGCGGGTGGAAATGCTGCAGGCTCTGCTGCAGCAGCAGCAGCAGCAGCAGCAGCAGCAACGCCACCAACACAGGGCTCTGCCGCTTCAGGCGCCAGACCTGCTGCAAAAGCAGCGATCAACGCATCTGCAGCAGCTAGGGCAACAGCAGTCGCTGCAGCAGCAGCAGCAGCTGCTGCGGCAGCAGCAGCTATCACAGCAGCAGGAACAGCAGCAGGCGGCACAGGCTGGTACTCGGCTGCTGCAGCAAAACCGGTGCCGCCCCACAGATCTGCATGCACTGCAGCAAAAACCCAGAGCCTCTGTGGCTTCTCCGCCTGCCCGTCCCCAAGATCCTGGGTGTTTAGACCAATCTGCAGCAGCAGCAGCAGCAGCAGCAGCAGCAGCAGCGCCCACTGCAGCAGCAGTTTATGACGCAGCAGCACGCACAGCAGCAGCAGCCCGCGCTGCAACAGCAGCGCGCACTGCAGCAGCAGCAGAAGCAGCTGCATGCGCAGCGCCGTCACGTGCTGCAGCGGCAGCAAGTACAGAAGCAGCAGCACGTGCAGCAGCAGAGCTCCCCGCAGAGGACGCAGCAGCAGCAGCAGCAGCAGCAGCAGCAGCAGCAAGTGCAGCAGAGGGACCTGCTTTGGGGGGCCTGAGCTTCCTTGGCGCAGCCAGCCCTAGCGAGCCAGAGCCAGAGTAAGCTGCTGAATCCTTTTTGTCTTTTTGTGTTTTTAAAAAATATTTTTTAAATTTGTTCTTTTGCAGCTGCATAAAAGACCCCACAGAAGTTCTTTTGTGTCCTTGGGCCTTGCTGCGCAGCAGCAGCAGCAGCAGCAGCAGCAGCAGCAGCAGCAGCAGCAGCAGCAGCAGCAGCAGCTTTTATGTGTATTGCCCTTCTTTTGGGGGCCTCTGTGTGTGCATAATTTGTGTTTCTAGATTTTTGTTGGCTTGCACCTTTGACCCTCAGATTTGCTGCCTATCTCCTTTAAGCCTTCGCTCAGGGTTTAGGGTTTAGGGTTTAGGGTTTAGGGTTTGGGGTTTAAGAAGGCGCAGGGGGTTTGGTCTTGGCGGTTTAAGCTGCGCGCGGCTTTGCTTGTCCATTTATTTCATTCTTTTCCTTTTTTTCAAACTATTCCATTTCCCAACAAGTCCTTTTGTCTTCTTCCAAAGCTCTGCTTCTTTGCTGCTGCTTGTTTGCTGCTGCTTGTTTGCTGCTGCTTGTTTGCTGCTGCTTGTTTGCTGCTGCTGCTCCGCAGCCCCAATTTGCTGCCCACCAGCGCCTCTTTGGCCCAGGCGGTGCAGCAGCAGCACAACGAGCTCTTCTCCGGCCTTAAGCGAGTCAGTCCCCCCGCCTCTTTGCTGCTGCCTCTCTGCTTCTTCCCAAGTACTAGCAGCAGCAGCAGCAGCAGCAGCAGCAAGTGCAGCAAAGGGGCCTGTTTTGGGTGCTTGGGGGGCCCCCGGGGGCCTCCGGGGCCCCCGGGGGTGCTTGAGGGGCCCCCGGGGGCCCCGGGGGGCCCCGGGGGGCCCCCAGGGGCCCCCGGGGCCCCCAGGATCCCGCAGGGGCCAATGGGAGGGCGAGACCTGGAGGCCCTTGGGGGCCCCGAAATTCCCCAGAAGTTTTCTTAGAAAGGGTCTGGGGGCCCCTAGGGGCCCTAGGGTCCGCTGGGGCCCCCAGGGGCCCCTGGGGGCCCCTAGGGGCCCCTGGGGGCCCCTGGGGGCCCCCAGGGCCCTGGGGCCCCCAGGGGTAGTGCCTGGGTAGGCCTTAGGGCTTATGTTTATTCTGTGGAAATATATTTGGACTTTTGCAGGAACTGGAGAGGGTGGGAGAAATTGAAGAGAGGTACTCTAGCTTGAAGAGTGACCTGCAGCGTATCCGGTAAGGGCCTTGCCCTGCTGCTGCTGCTGCTGCTGCTGCTGCTGCTGCTGCTGCGCTGCTGCTGCTGCTGTTGCTGCTGCTGTTGCTTTTTTGAAAGTTCTATTTTGGAGTGTCTGGCTGCTGAAGATGCCAAAAATGGCAGTTCGCGGCTGCTGCACAGAAACAAGAGTCTGTCTTATTATTATTATTGTTATTATTATTATTATTATTATTATTATTATTATTATTATTATTATTATTATTATTATTAATATTATTATTATCTTTAATATTAATGTCAATATTATTGTTATTACTATTATTATTATTGTGGATAATTCCTATTTACATGAATTAGAATGGGTCTGAAGAGCTGCTTGCGCCCGTGTCTCTGCTGCTGCTGCTGCTGCTGCTGCTGCTGCTGCTGCTGCTGCGCTGCTGCTGCTGCTGCGCTGCTGCAGGAGACAAGCGAAAGAGCTGCGCACACAGACGGGGGCCATTTTAGGGCAGCTGAGCCCCAGCTGAGGCGGAGCAATAACAGCAGCAGCAGCAGCAGCAGCAAGCAGCAGCAGCAGCAAAAGAGGCCGGGAAGGAGCAGCAGGAGACACAAAAGAAGCAAACGAAAAAAGACTGGCAGCAAAAAAACAATTCAAGAAAAGTCCAAAGGAGACAAAGGGGAGGCCACCTTGGGGCAGCAAAGGGACAGAGAGCAGCAGCAACTGGCCAAAAGACAGCAGCAGCAGCAGCAGCAGCAGCAGCAGCTGCTGCTGCTGCTGCTGCTGCTGCTGCTGCTCAGCCCCCAGCCACAAATGCTAGTCTCTGTCTCCCCACCCGCGGGGCTTTGGGTGGCTGGCCGCCGCAGCAAGGCTGCTGCTGCTGCTGCTGCTGCTGTGGCTTCTCGGTCACTTGCTGCTTCTCTTTGACTCTTTTGCTGCTGCTGCATGCATTTCTTTTTTAAAAAAAAAACTCCTTGGCAGCAAACTCAGAGACACATGAGGCAAATGCAAGTCTATTTGCAGGGCCTCTTTGAAGCAAGTAAAGATGCATTAAGGCAGACCCTTTGCTGCTGCGCTGCTGCTGCTGTTGCTGCTGCTGCTGTTGCTGCTGCTGCTGCTGCTGCTGCTGCTGCTGTCTCCCCCCACCAAGAGGGCTGCTGTGGCTTCGCAGGAAAAACGGAGACCCCACGGGCCCTGCGCCGCTGCGGTGTGTCGCGAGCTAGCTAGCTAGCTAGCCAGCTAGCTAGCTAGCTAGCTAGCTAGCTAGCTAACTAGCTAGCTAGCCAGGGTCTGGGCAGCCAGAGGCCGCTGCAGCTAGCGACAGGCTGCAGCTAGCCACACTGGCTGGGCGTGGCTAGCTAAGTAAAGGCCCTATTGATTGTTTGTCTTTGTCTTCGCAAATATACTTTTTAAAACAGCAGCAGCGCAGCAGCAACAAAAGAAAAGCCCCGCAGCTCGCAGCTGGGCTGCGCCGCGCGAGGCGAGCTAGCCACAGCTAGCTGCAGCTGCAGCTAGCCACAGATAGCCATAGGTGCCCGCAGCTAGCTACAGCTAGCCACAGCAAACCACAGCTACCCACAGCTAGCCACAGCCAGCCACGGGTAGCCACAGCTAGCCGCAGCTAGCCGCAGCTAGCCGCAGCTAGCCGCAGCTAGCCGCAGCCAGCCATGGCTATCAGCCATGGCTATCCCATCTAGCCGCAGCTAGCCATAGCAGCTACCCCAGCTAGCCACAGCTAGCCGCAGCTAGCCGCAGCTAGCCACAGCCGGCCCCAGCTAGCTGCTGCCGCCCAGATGACTCACATGGGCTTATATATTCAAATGGCCTCTGGCTGTTTACATTCAGAAGTCCCAGACATAAATGCATGCACTCATAGAGTCTTCAGCTTTCCACTTTTAAAGCCCGCGTGTGGCAGCCGCAGCAGCAGCAGCAGCAGCAGCAGCAAAAGCAGCAGCAGCAGGACCGTCTGCAGCGTCTCGAGAGCTGCTGCAGCTCTACAAGGCTCCAGCAGCTGGCAGTTCGAGGGGCCCCACAAAAGGGCATTTGAAGGGCCCCTTGCTGCATGCAAATCAAGACCCACCCCAGCGGGGGGCCCCCGGGGGGCCCCCGGGGGGCCCCCCTAGAGCCCCACTTGATCTTTGTTCGGACTTTGTTTTAAAAGTACTTTTTAATATTTTTCAAGAGCCACTACCCCGGGCCCGTCTTTAGCCAAAAGCTGCATGCAAAACCCTAAAAAGAGGAAAGAGAAACTGCTGCAGCTAAATCCCTACTTGCCACAGCTGTGTGTGGGGCCCCTGGGGCCCCCAACTGCCCCCTTGGGGGCCCCCAGGGGGGCCCCCAAGGGGGCAGGCTCCCCGGTGGGGGCCCCCACCCCTGGGGGCGGCGCAGCTGTGCCCCTGGGGCCTCTGCACTCAGTCTAAAGCTGCTTCCTAAGTACTAAACCCTCCCCCGGGGCCGCAAAGCAACAATTCCTCTGCAGCTAAGTACCCAGGGCCCCACCCAGGGGCCCCCCTGGAGGGTCTTTGGGCCCCTCTTGCAAAGAACTCTGCGCGTGCAGCCCCTGGGGGCCCCCCGAGGGCCTCTGGGGGCCCCATCGAGGGTTCACCTGCGCGCCAGTGGAAGCAACCGCGAGCAGAACTTCGCTGCTGCAGCACCTACGGGGGTGTTGGGCTCAGAACGGAGCCACAGCAAACACAGGAAGAAGCAAATAGTGTCAAAAAAGCCATTTTACAGCGAACAGACACAAAGCGCTGTTTTGTTGAGGGCTGGGTGCTGGGGGCACACAGTCGCTTGCCAGCGGGCAGTGCAGCCGGAGCCGCGGCAGCGTCTCGAGGCCCTCTTGCGAAGTGTAAGCCTCATGGAAAAGACTCAGTGAAGATTATTGAAAGTCAAAAGTGAGGAGTTGTGGCGCGAAAACGAGCGCTTCCGCACGGCGGCACAATCGCGGGTGTACAGACGCTGCAGCAGCAGCGGAGGCGGGATTTGATCGGAACTGCAGCGGAGGGGCATTTTCGTTAGTTTCGCGAGCAGCAAACTCTGCGGAAAGTTGGTAAATGAATTTATCGACATAAAGTTGTCTATAATCCGGCGAAAAAGCCCTGTTTCCCGGGGGTTAAGGGGGGAGATCGCGGGAGAGGAGCCTCGTTAGTGCTTGCCACCCAGATGCTGCGCCGGCGCCGCTAGGGCGGCAGGCGGCGGGCTTGCTCCGCTAGAGCTGCGCAGAAAGCTAACATCTGCTAATTCAATATATTTGGCGGCAGAAAGCAGCAGAAGAACTGGGACTCGCGCGCTGCGCGGCCTTCCCCTGCAGCAGCAGGCGCTGCTGCAGTGGCCGCATGCCGGCAGCGTCGCCGGGTGCCGCAGCGCCACAGACGAGGCCCAGGAGAGTCCTTAGAGTGGATTTATCTGTTTTAAGCGGCTGAGAGGATCTGTTTGCGGTGTAAATGCACCCCAACATGACACCTGGGCGCCTTGCCTCCCCGTGTCCTCTTGACTTGCAATTGCTGCAACGCCTCACCCTCAGGAGGGCAATCCTCGTGGCTGCTGCGCCCCAAGGGCGTCTTTCGGGGGCCTTCCTTTCTTTTTCTCCTCCGCAGTCTCTTCTTTGGCATTAATTCAGCAGCAGCAGCTCATTTTTTGGGCCCTCCAGTCCTGCTGCGCTGCGTGCCCCCCTCCGCCCGGCCGCAGGCTTCTGCTGCAGCACCGGCAGCGCTGGAGCAGCAGCGCCGCCGCGCAGCCGCAGAGGCAGCAGCAGAGCTCAGCAGCAGCGAGACGCCTCAGCAGCAGGCCTTAAGGCTTCCGCCGAGGCCCGGAAGCGCGCACTGCAGCAGCAGCAGCAGCAGCAGCAGCGGCAGCAGCAGCAGCAGCAGCAGCAACGCCCGCTCCTAGGATGTCCCCCTCACTGAGGTACCCAGGCTGCGCATTCGTCGAAGAGGAAGCCGGCGCCTCCGGCGGGGAGGTGTACCGCAGCGGCGGCAGCTGCAGCAGCAGCAGCTGCAGCAGCGGCAGCTGCAGCAGCGGCTGCAGCAGCGGCAGCTGCAGCAGCGGCTGCAGCAGCAGGGAAACCTGCGGAGGCAGCAGGTGCGACACCAGCAACGGCAGCTGCCGCAGCACTGGCAGCAGAAGCAGCATGGATAGAGAAGTGGATCTATCTCCCCTGAGTGGGGCCCAGCCTTCTTGGCCAAGCACTCCGAGTGCAGAAATGCCAGCAGCAGCAGCAGCAGCAGCACCAGCAGCAGCAGCAGCAGCAGCAGCAGCAGCGGCTTTGCCGGGCGCGGAAAACCCCGCAGCGGCGGCCGGCGGCGCCGCCCAGAGCGCGGGGCTCTGGGCTCTCGCGCTGCAGCAGTCTGCTGCTGCTGCTGCTGCTGCTGCTCTCATGCGCCGCAGCCCCTCAGCCCCCAGTTTGGTCAGCGGCGTGCTGCGGGACTGCCTGCAGAGTCGGCAGCAGCTGCAGCTGCTGCAGCAGCAGCTGCTGCTGCAGCAGATGCAGCAGCTCAAGCTGCGCCCGCAGGACCAGCAGCAGGAAGCGGACGACCAGCCGCAGCCGCAGGAGGGCCAGGCGCGACAGAGGCAGCTGCAGCAGCTGCAGCAGCAGCAGCAGCAGCAGCAGCAGCAGCCGCTGGAGCAGCAGCAGCAGCAGCTGCAGCCGCTGCAGGAGCTGCACGAGGAGCAGCTGCAGCACGAACCCCTCCCGACCATCATTATGACCGCAGCGGAAAGCTCCGAAACCCTCGACGAAGAGCAGCAGCAGCAGCAGCAGCAGCAGCAGCAGCAGCAGCAGCAGCTGCTGCTGCTGCAGCAGCCAGATGAGGGAGAACACGAGCAGCAAGATCCTGTGGGGGAGCAGCTGGGCGGGCCCAATGTACAGGTGCGACAGCAGCGCCACAATCGGCAGCAGCGGCGGCAGCAGCAAAAGAGTTTAGCAGCAGTGGGAGCAGCAGCAGCAACTGCTGCAGCAGCAGGCATGGGGAGCAGCAGCAAGGTGGGGCCTCTCGCAGAGGGAATTGCTGCTGCTGCTGCGGCGCCAGCAGCAGCAGCAGCTGCTGCTGCTGCCAGCAATAGTGCGAGGAAACGGCGCTGCACCAGGCCCCCAAGAAACAGAGTCAGCAGCAACAGCAATATCCGCTACAGCAGCAGCAGCAACTGCAACTGCAGCAACGGCGGCAGCAGCAGCAGCAGCAGCAGCAGGACTCGCACCAGAGCTCAAAGCGACGCAACGCATTCAATGCTTAAGCGGAAGCCCCACCAAGTCGAGGACCAGTTCTTCCGGTGAGGGTTTAGGGTTTAGGGTTTAGGGTTTAGGGTTTAGGGTTTAGGGTTTGGGAACCCGTTCTTCGTGTGTCTTGCTCCTCGGCGTTTGGGGTTTAAAGAAAATGAACGAGCAGCAATTAAAAACAAGGACCACGAACAGTTAATCGGTCCTTTCTGCTGCTGCTGCTGCTGCTGCTGCTGCTGCTGCTGCTGCTGCTGCAGCATAAAGATGTGCCAGAACTTCTTGAACGGCAGCTGCAGCAAAAGCCACACCTGCAGCTACGCCCACAGCGAGGAGGAGCTGCGAGAGCCTCCGGCGCTGACCAAAACCAAGATGTGTGTGCACTGGCAGGCGGTACGCCAAACCCTAAACCCTAAACCCTAAACCCTAAACCCTCGACCCTAAACCCTAAACCCTAGGACCCGCTCGGGGAGGCGGCCGAACGCGCGCCGCACGCCTGAAACCCTAAACCCTTCCAGGGGGTGCAGCTCTTGGGGAACAGCGCGCGCCTTTGCCGCCTAGGGTTTAGGGTTTAGGGTTTAGGGTTTAGGGTTTAGGGTTTAGGGCTTTGGTGCTTCAGGGAACTTGCCCAGCTACAGACGGCTCGTGTCTTTTCGCCCACGGCGAGGCAGAGCTGCGCAGCACGAGCGACTATTACAAAGCACGTCTTCTTTTGCTGCTGTTGCTGCTGCTGCCGCTGCTGCTGCTGCTGCTGCTGCTGGAGCTGCTGCAGCTGCTGGGCTTGTGCTTTAGCTGGTGTAGTTTCTAGTACTCTTTGCTGCTGCGGCTGTTGCTGCTTTTGCTGCTGCTCTGTGCGCATCCGAAGTGCAGCGACGTGCAGCAGCTGCTGCTGTTGCTGCAGCGCTGGGCTCCTTTCTAAACTGCTGCTGCGGTTGCTGCTGCTGCTGCTGCTGCTGCTGCAGACGAAGCTGTGCAAGTTCTGGGTGCGCGGAGGCGTCTGCCCAGCAGGAGAGAGTTGCCGTCATGCGCACGGAGAGCAGGAGTTAAGGAAGCGGAAGTAAGCAGCAGCAGCAGCAGCAGCAGCAGCAGTAGCAGCAGCAGCAGCAGGAGCGGCTTGTTTTTCTGCTGCTGCACGTGCTGTTAGTGCTGCAGTTTGGTGCCGCTGGACGCAGCAGCTGTAGCTGCGTGTCCACAACAATTTGCCGCTGCTGCCTCGCGTGCTGCTGGTGCTATTGCTGCTGCTGCTGCTGCTGCTGCTGCTGCTGCTGTTGCTGCTGCAGCTACCGACGCACTGAACTGGAGAAATTTGCCTCTGTGCACGGGCTGAACATTGTGGCTTTGCTGGAGGAGCTGCGGGGAGCTGCCAGTTTGAATGTAGCAGCAACAGCAGAAGCAGCAGTGATAAGAAGCAAGGCGAAGAAGGGAGCAGCAGAGGGGCAGCAGGGTGCTGCTGCAGGTGCTGCTGCAGCAGGAGCAGCAGCAGCGGGCGCAGCAGCAGCAGCAGCCAAGGGCGCAGCGGCCTCCGCGACAGCGCCCGCCGGGCCCGCCGCGGCCCCCGCGGCCCCCGCGGAGCTGCAGCAGCTGCAGCAGCAGCAGCAGCAGCAGCAGCAGCAGCGGATGGGTCGGGGGGACCGGGTGCGGGGCGTGTCTTTGCCGACGCAGAACAGCCGGGGAGTGTCGGGAGAAGGGCAGCAGCAGCAGCAGCAGCAGCAGCAGCAGCACGCGCACCACCGGCGGGGGGAGGCGCACGGGCCGCGGGGCGCGGGGCCGCAGCAGCAGCAGCAGCAGCAGCAGCACGGCGGGGAGCAGGAGGCCAGCCAGCGGTGGCAGCAGCACGAGCAGCAGCAGCTGCTGCTGATGCAGCGCGCTGCAGTGGAGGGGGGGGCCCCCGTTTATGCCCAAGTGCCCTTTGTGCCCACAGATGTGTACACAACTCTGCCGGGTTTGCTGCCTTACCCAGCGCCTTATATGCAGGTGCCATATGCAGCAGCAGCAGCAGCAGCAGCAGCAGCAGCTCCGGGGGCGCAGTACGGGGCCCCCAGCTACCCGCTGGGCATTTTCCCGCCCTACCCGCTGCTGCAGATGCCCACGGTGCAGCAGCCCCTCGTGAACCCCACAGCAGCAGCAGCAGCAGCAGCAGCAACTCCGAGCACCGCGGCAGCAGCAGCGGCGGCGGAGGCCAGCGGCTCTGCCCTGCCGCAGCAGCAGCCACTAGATGAACCCGCAGACGTCTAGCTTGTCCGCAGACAGCAGCAGCAGCAGCAACAGCAGCAGCAGCAGGTACTGCTGCAGGCGCTGCTGCAGCGGCACCTCCGGCTGCCGTGCTGCAGCAGCTGGCTGTCTCGTTGCAGCAACAGAGTGTTGCGCATGTTCACCGGACGGGGAGGTAAGGCCCCCCGTCCAGCAGCAGCAGCAGCAGCAGCAGCAGCAGCAGCAGCCGCTGCAGCAGCGGAGCTGCAGCAGCTGCAGCGGCTGCTGCTGCTGCAGCTGCTGCTGCACTCATTGTAGTTAGCAATCGAGCTTCGTCTCAGGGCTCAGGAGAGACAAGATGTTCCCGACCGGACAAACTGCCTATTGTTTGATGAGCAGCAGCAGCAGCAGCAGCAGAGGCTGCTGCTGCTGCTGCTGCTCTCCTTTGTGTGACTCTCAGCGTCCTAAGCTGCGAGGCTGTATTTGTGCTGTCTGCTTGCTGCTGCTGCTGCTGCTGACCCCCCTTTAGCAGCAAGCAGCGCGTAGGGAGGAAGCAGCAGCAGCAAGACTGCAACCGCACAGTGAGAACCTCGCAACAGCAAGCTGTGGGTTTACTTGACTGTCAAGAGGGATGCAGCCACCGCAGCAGCAGCAGCAGCAGCAGCACAAGCTGCTGCTGCTGCTGCTGCTGCACCTCGTAGACGCAAACAAAACCGATTGCCAGAGGCCTTGGCCCCCAGAGTTCGTCCGGGCGGCGCCGAACTAAGGGGGCAGCTGCTGCAGCAGCGCTGCAGCAACTATAGCAACAGTGGCAGCAGCAGCTGCTGCTGCAGCAGCTGCTGCTGCGCTATGCTGCTGCATTCACGGCAGGCCGGCCATGAATGGCGGACTGCAGCAGCTCGCCTAAAACGCGTGCAACTGTCTCTTTAGACGCAGCAGAGATTTGCTCTTCACCTGTTGCTGCTGCAGCTGCTGCTGCAGCCTGTTGTGGCTGCTGCTGCAGCTGCTGTTGTGGTGCTGCTGCTGGAAGCTGCGCCTGCGCCTGAGCGGCAGCAGCAGCGTCTGCTGCTGCCAGCTGAGCGTTTGCTGCAGCAACAGCAGCGGGAGCAACAAGCGTGTTGCTGCTTAATATTATCGCTTGTTGCTGCACGATCAGACGCTGCTGCTGCTGCAGCATTTCAGCGTGCTGCTTGTTGTTCTCCAGCAGCCGCACCACTTCTCTTTCCACCTGCAGCAGCAGCAACAGCAGCAGCAGCAACTTGTAAACCGACAGCCCTAACTTAGTGATTACAGCGCATTTGGCATGCTGCAGGCTGCTCGCAGCACGCGGCCACTGCTGCTGCTGCTTCTGTAGTTCTGCTGCTGCTTCTGTAGTTCTGCTGCTGCTTTTGTAGTTCTGCTGCTGCTTTTGTAGTTCTGCTGCTGCTTTTGTAGTTCTGCTGCTGCTTCTGTAGTTCTGCTGCTGCTTCTGTAGTTCTGCTGCTGCTTCTGTAGTTCTGCTGCTGCGTCTGTAGTTCTGCTGCTGCTTCTGTAGTTCTGCTGCTGCGTCTGTAGTTCGCCTGCTGCTGCTGTGGCTGCTATTTGCTGCTGCTCTTGTTGCTGCTGCTTTCACTAGCTAGTCCTGCAATGCTGCTTCCCTGCCGGCTCTGCTAGCACTGCCTGCGCTGTACATTGCTGCTGCTGCTGCTGCTGCTGCTGCTGCGTCTACTACTGCTGCTTCTCTGCTGTTGCTGCCAACACTGCGTTTTGCTGCTGCTAATGCTGCTCCTGCTACTGCGGCTGCTGTTACAGCTGCTAATGCTGCTTCTGCTGCTTGTGCTGCTGCTACTCCCGCTGCTGCCGCTGCATGCTGCTGCCGCTGCATGCTGCTAATGCTGCCGCTGCTAATGCTGCTGCTGCTGCTACTACTGCTGCTGCTGCTGCTGCTGCTGCTGCTGCTGCACCTGAGAGCAAGTGGCTGTGCTGCGGGGAACGCCGAGAAGGTCGCAGACAGATCTGAAGAGAGTGTCGAGGGGGCGGTGGTGGCGAACAGCTGTCTGTACACCTGCGATGCACTCTTCTAGGGTTTTGAACCCTAGGCGGCTGCGGAGGTCGGCGAGGAACTGCTGCTGCTGCTGCTGCTCCGCCGTCAGCTGCTGCTGCTGCTGCTGCAGCAGCTGCTGCTGCTGCAGCTGCTGCCGCACGCACGACACCGCACGAGCGTCGGCTGCTGCTGCTGCTGCCAGCATGTCCCGCTGCTGCCCCTCGTGCTGCTGCTGCAGGCGCACCAGGCGGGAGAAGAACTCCTCTGTGGGCTCGTGCTGCTGCAGCAGGTCGAGGGGCTCCAGCTGCTGCTGCTGCATGTTGCAGCCCTCCTCGAGCAACGCAACAACCTGCTGCTGCTGCTGCTGCTGCTGCTGCTGCAGCTGCTCTTCTACGGACACACGGCAAGACCCTGGGGTGCCCGCCAGCTCCTGCACCAGTTGCTGCAACTCGGAGTAGTTGCGCAGCTGTACAGACACCGCAGCAACAGCAGCAGACACTGCAGCAGCAGAAAAGCCGAGGCAGCAGCAGAAGCAAATGGCTCCAAGCAACGAAATCAACAGCAGCGGCAGCTGCAGGACCGAAGCAAGCCACGAAGCAGCAACAGCAGCAGCAAGCACAGGCAGCAGCAGCAGCAGCAGCAGCAGCAGCAGCACGCCGTACGGCTTTTGCTTGGCACTTGAGCCGACAGAGAGCCCTGGCAATGAACAGCAGCTTTTGCTGCTGCAGGCTGCTGCTGCAGCCAGCTGTACCGACACCGCGCACCCCCTGCTGCTTCAGCCGCCGCCTCAAAACCTTCACCAGTTCCGCGTCAGAGGGGGGCACTGACTCAAGAACAAGAGCCAGCAGCACCTGCAGCAGCAGCAGCAGCAGCAGCAGCAGCAGCAGCAGCAGCAGCAGCAGCAGCAACAACAACAGCAGCAGCAGTGACAGACGCGCAGCAAACCGTCCTCTCCCGTGCTGCCGCTCACGCTATCGCCCCTGCCTCATCCACAGCCCCCTCTTTTGCTGCTGCTGCTGCTGCTGCTGCCGCTGCTGCTGCTGCTGCTGGCTGACTCACCTGCAGCAGCTGCTGCTGCAGCGCAGGCCCCTGGTGCTGCAGCAAAGCCACGCCCGGGAGATTTGAAGGCAGGCAGCGGAAGGCCACGCAGCAGCTCTGAGGTGTACATACACCCCACACAGGGTCGCTAGCTGCTGTGCAGCAAAGTCCCGAAACCCTAAACCCTAAACCCTTAACCTAAACCCTAAGTCCCAAACCTGCAGCACTTAGCGCCAGCAGCAGCAAGAACCCCGCGACCAGGCTAGCCGCGGCGGCTGCAGCAGCAGCAGCAGCAGCAGCAGCAGCAGCAAACCTTGACAAGCTGCTGCAGCGTTTCTCGCTGCATGCTCTGCAGCGCCTTGTCGCAGCGCATTAACAGCCGAGGGTCGCCACAGCCGTCTGAGTCCTTTAGAGGGTTCAACTGCTCCTGCAGCAGCAGCAGCAGCAGCAGCAGCAGCAACAGCAGCAACAGTGAAGCAGCAAAAAACAGCAACGCTCCAGCAGCGAGAGTCCACGCAGCAGAGGCAACTGCAACAAGTACATCAGTGGCACAGCACGCAAACAGGAGAGCAGCAGCAGCAGCAGCAACAGCAGCAGCAGCAGCAGCAGCAACAGCAGCAGCAGCAGCAGCACACCTGTAGCTCCCGCAGCTGTTCGTGAAGGGCCGTGACTTCTTCTGTAGAAGGCCTCAAGCGGAGCTTCGCCACTTCCGCCTCCAACTAAGCAGCCATCGCAGCAGCAGCAGCAGCAACAGCAGCAACAGTTGCTGCAGAACCCAGCACAGCTGCTGCTGCAGCGGCAGCAGCAGCAACAATCCATGCAGCAGCAGCAGGTAACGCAAAAGCAGCAAATCCAGCTCGGCCCACCTCCTCTTTTGTTGCACGCAGATCCGCTACTGCCTTCCCGTCCGTTTGCTTCTGCAGTGCAGCAGCAACTTCCAGCTGCAGCAGCAACAGCACAGCAGCAGCAACAGCAGCAGCAGCAGCAAGAGCAACAGGCAGCAACCGCAGTTGGAGCAAAGCCGTAGACATGCGACGGCAGCAACGGCGTAATGCAGCAGCAGCAAAACGAACGCACTTAGAACTAGCGAAAGTAACGGTTAGTGCAGCAGCAGCAACAGCAGCAGCAGCAACAGCAGCAGCAGCAGCAGCAGCAGCAGCAGACCTTCGTTCTGTTCCGTTTTTCTTTCTCGAGAGCTTCACTAAGCATTGCCGCCTCCGAGCGAAGAGCTGCTACCTGTATGTCATGCTGCTGTTGTTGCTGTTTGTGCTGCTGTTGCTGCTGCTTGTGCTGCTGCTGCAGCTGCTGCTGCAGTTGATCCACCTGCTGCTGCAGCTGCTCTACCTGCTGCTGCAGCTGCTGCTCTCTCTGACGCAGCTCAGCAGCAGCAACCTTCTCCTCCTCCGCTTCTGCTGTTGCTGCTGCTATTGCCGTCGCTGCTGCTGCTGCAGCGGCTGCAGATGCATCTGCTGCAACGTTGCCACCCTGCTGCTGAAGCTGCTGCTGCGCCACCTTCAGCGCTGCTGCGAGCCCCTGGATTTCCCGCTGCTGCGCCTCCACCTGCAGCAGCAGCAGTAAAAGCAACAGCAGCAGCAGGCATGCACTTCTGCACAATAGTCATATGAAACAGAGAGCCCACTACTCATGCCCTGCGCAGCAGCAGCAGCAGCAGCAGCAGCAGCAGCAGCAGCAGCAGCACCGGAACCTGCAGTGCCTACCTTGGCCTCATACTGCCTCACGATTTCCAGAGTCTCCCTCTTCTGCAGCTGCTGCTGCTGCTGGTTGCTGCCAGCAGGAGATCGCCGAGAGAGCAGTCCCGACTGCAGCACCTTGGCAGCTTTCTGCTGCTGCTGCTGCTGCTGCCGCGCTGCTGCTGCTTCCCGCTGCTCCAGCTGCGGCGCAATGCACAACACCAGTTTCTGCATATCAGACACACTGGCTGCTGCTGCTGCACTTAAACAGACTACAGAAAACACTAGTAAGGCCAGCAGCAGCAGCAGCAGCAGCTGCTGCTGCTGCTGCTGCTGAGCGTGAGGCCTCAAGACACAGAGCTCTAGGGCAACATGCCCCTGCAGCAGCCCCTACAGCTGCTATAGCCGGTTTACTAAGCTCCCCACTGCCCTTGCTGTTGCTGCTGTTGCTGCTGTTGCTGCTGCTGCTGCTGTTGCTGCTGCTGCTGCTGCTGGAGGGACTCACCAATCGGAGCTGGTTGTCCCTGTCGTTGAGCATTTCCCGCTGCAGCTGAGCCTTCTTCTTTGCCTCCTGCAGCTGCTGCTGCAGCTCCTCGTTTTTATGCTTTGCTGTTAACAGCTGCTGCTGCAGCGCTGCAGCAGCAGCGACCCGCTGCTGCAGGTCTGCTGCTGCAGCACGAGCAGCATCCGCCTGAAGGAAAGCAGCAGCAGCAGCACTTGGGATGTACGTACACTGCGGCTGCAAGCAGGACAGCAGCAGCTGCAGCAGCAGCTGCAGCAGCAGCTGCAGCAGCAGCTGCAGCTGCAGCAGCAGCTGCAGCAGCAGCACACACGTACCTCAGCGGCGAGAGCGTCGTTTTGCTTGCGAAGCCGCGAGAGCGTCTCACTGTGCTTAGCTGCTGCAGCTTGCTGCTGCTGCTGCAGCTGCTGCACCTGCAGCAGCAGCTGCCCCCGGGCCTGGTGCGCCTGCAGGGCCTGAGCCACGGCCTGGGAGCAGCACTCTACGACATGCTGTACGTACACCTCAGTAGTTTCAATTTCCAGCACGAACCGGTCTTGCTGCTGCTGCTGCAGCTCTGCTGCTGCAGCTGCTGCTGCTGCTGCCGGCAGCGGGGGGTGGCAGCGGCTTGCTGCGCGCCACAGCTGCAGCGGCTGCAGCTCTGCTGCATGCAGCAGCCGGTCCAGCCGCTGCAGCGAAGGCCAAAGGCTGTCTCGGAGTCTTTCGCGGCTGCTGCGAATCTCGGCTACGTGCTGCTGCTGCAGCAGCTGCAGGACCTGCACCTGCTGCTGCTGCTGCTGCTGCTGCAGCTGCAGCCACGGCGAACTGGCTTCGTCCGACGCAGCAGAAGCAGCAGCAGGAGAAGCAGGCAGAAAGGCCTTCCCGCTGCTGCCAAAGGAGGGAGCCGGCGACGCCAGAAGCGCCAGCTGGCCTCCGCCTGCTGCTGCTGCTGCTGCTGCTTCTGCTGCTGCTGCTGCTTCTGCTGCTGCTGCTGCTGCAGACGAAGCAGGGGACGATGCATGCGACGAGTCCTCATAGAAGTGCCCGAAATCTGCAGTCTGCGCCAGAGGTGGAACAGCTTGCTGCAGCCACCTGCTGCTGCTGCTGCTGTTGCTGCATGCTACAGCGGGGGGCTGCTGGTAATCTTCTGCAGCAGCAGCAGCAGCAGCAGCAGACACGCTGGGAAGCGACAGCAACGAGCTGCTGCTGCCGCGATCGCTGCTGCTGCGCACTTGCAGGGCCTGCGGCCGGTCGAGCAAGGTGGGGTAGGGCCGCTGCAGCCTCGTGGGAGACAGCAGCAGCAGCTGCTGCTGCTCCTGCTGCAGGTGAAGCTGCTGCTGCTGCTGCTGCTGCTGCTGCTGATACTCCAAAGCAACCAGACCCGAAGCAGCATCTGGGCGACCCTCAAGAGCTCCTGCCACAGCCTCAACCTCAGAAGAAGCCAAAGACGATGCAGAAGGACTTCCACTGTTCTGCTGCTGCTCTTGCTGCTGCTGCTGCAGTCCGTGCTGCTGCAAGTCATGCTGCTGCTGCTGCTGAAAGTGGCCTGCTTCTGCCTCGTGAAGCCAAGGGGGAGCCCCTCGTGCGAGGCTGTCGTAGTGGCTCTGCTTTTCGAAGCCTTCCTGCTGTTGCTGCAGCAGCAGCTGCTGTTGCTGCAGCAGCAGCTGCTGCTGCAACGATTCCTGTTGCTGCAGCGGCTGCTGTTGCAGCTGCTGTGGCTGTTGCTGTTGCTGCAGCGGCTCCTGTTGCAGCTGCTGCAGCGTCTGCTGCTGCTGCTGCAGTGGCTGGTGTTGCTGATGCAACGTCTGTTGCTGCTGCTGCAGCGCCTGCTGCTGCTGCTGCTGCAGCGGCTGCTGCCAAGCGTGAGCACTTGAAGCTGGAGACGGCGTCACAGACTCCGTTGTGCCTCCTGCAGCAGTTAGCAGCAAAATGGCGCAGCAATTAGCAGCAGCAGACCAGCAGAAATGCAGCAGCAGCAACACAGCAGCAGCAAAACAGCAGCAGCAATGCAGCAGCAGCAAAAAGCCCTAGAGTTGTGCACACTTCTCTCACCTGCAGTTGTGCAGCGGCTCCCAACGCCTACAGGTGCAGCAGCAAACGCACTCTCTGTCAGCCCCCGCGGCTTGCTGCTGCTGCTGCTGCTGCTGCTGCTGCTGTTAGGCGACACAGCAGCAGAAGCAGCAGATGGGCTTGTTGCTGCTGCACTGGGGGGCTGCAGCAAAGGCCGCTCCTGCGGCACAGAAGGTCCGTAGGGAGAGAAGCTCTCAGTTGAATCTGCTGCGTCTTCGCTGCTGCTGCTGCTGCCGCTGCTGCTGCCGCTGCTGCTGCCGTTGCTGCTGCCGCTGCTGCTGCTCAGCGCTTTCCCAGAGGAATAAGCCGCATACCCGAGTTGCCGCTGCTGCATAGGCTGCTGCTGCTGCTGCTGCTGCTGCTGCTGCGGCAGCAGCAGCTGCTGCGCTGCTGCCTCAGCCCCCTCATCTGACCATGACCAAGCCAGGACCTCAGAAGCAGCAGACGGCCTATGCGCATGCTGCAGCAGTTGCTGCTGTTGCTGCTGCTGCTGCTGCTTCTGGCTGCCGCGCAGCAGGGGCGCTGCTGAGGAATATCCTGCAAAAGTGGAGCTCTGAAGTCCAGCAGCAGCAGGAGCAGCAGCAGGTGCAGCAGCAGAAGGAGCAGCAGCAGGTGCAGCAACAGTCGCAGCAGCAGGCGCAGCAACCGTTGGAGCCTGCAGCCACGCTGGCCGCGCACTAGCAAAAGCAGGCTCAGCAGCAGCAGCAGCAGCAGCAGCAGCAGCAGCAGCAGCAGCAGTAGTACTACTTGGCGCTGGACTTGCTGCTGCTGCTAGGCCGCTGGCTCCCAGCACAAGGCCCACGCGGGCTAGGAGCTCCCGAGATGCTGCTATAGTTCTTGCTGCTGCCGTGCTGCTTCTCGTTGCTGCTGCTGCAGTAGCTGCTGCAGCAGCAGCAGTGCTGTTGTCGCCGCTGCTGCTGCTGGGGCTGCTGTTGCTGCTTCGGTGTGCTGCAGCAGCAGCAAAGCTGCCGCAAGAGCGCGCTGTTGCGCTGCTTGGCGGCAGCAGAGATGGCAAGTTGCTGCTGCTGTTGCTCTGGCAATGACTGCCTTGAGTAAGTGCAAGGCCAGTGCTGCTGCTGCTGCTGCTGCTGCTGCTGCTGCTGCTGTTGCTGACTGTAGAAATCCTTGTTGCGTTGCTTCTTAGCGCAGCAGCAGTGCTTTCAGGAAAAACAGGTAGGGCCTTGGCGCTGGTGCTGCCCGTGCTGCTGGACCCAACAGCAGCCGCTGCTGCTGCTGCTGCTGTGCTGCCCTGCTGCTGCTGCTGCTGCTGCTGCTGCTGCTGCTGCTGCGGCGGCCTGTATACCCCTGCCAAAAACAAAGCAGCTTTGCTGTTCCTTGCGACATCAAAGGGGGTGTCCAGTTCGCTCAGCAGCAAGGGCCCTGTACCTCCCAGAGGGCGTCTGTGCTGCTGCTGCTGCTGCTGCTGCTGCTGCTGCTGCTGCTGAGTGCTGCTGTGCAGTCCTGAGGCGATCAGCTCAGCAGCAGTCATCTGCTGCTGTTGCTGCTGCCAAGAGAGGATTGATGAAGGGTCATCCCCCGTGGTGCTGCTGCTGCTGTTTATTGGCGTTGCTGCTGCAACAGCAAGCCGCGCCGACACCGAGTCGAAGCCGGCGATGCTGCTGCTGCTGCCGCTCTTGCTGCTGCTGCTGCTGCTGCTGCTGCTGTTGATGTTGCTGTTGCTGCCCCTGCTTCTTCCAGGCAGCAGGTTGGGGTTGTTGTTATCTAAGGACGACACCGACGGCCGTGCAAAGGGAGATGCAGCAGCAGCAGCAGCAGCAATCGGCATGCCCGTGCTGCTGCTGCTGCCGCTTCTGCGCCCCACTGCTGTTGCTGCTGCTGCTGTTCCTGTCGGGGCAAACGGGTTCCTCGCAGGGCCCTCACCAAGTAGCAGCCGCTGCTGCTGCAGCTCCATGGCCACCAGCTGAAATAAACTGCTGCTGCTGCTGCTGCTGCTGCTGCTGCTGCTGCAGTTTCTGCTGCTGCTGCTGCATTCGCTGCTGGCGCTGCTAGCGCTGTTTCCTTTGCGGCGGTCTAATGTAGGGCTGGGCTGTACGCCGCGGGACCAGCAGGATCGCCATTGGCTGCTCTTGCTGCTGCTGCTGCTGCTGCCGCAGCTGCTGCTGACTGCCCGGCTCCTGCTGCTCTTTTTCGTAAATAAAACACAAAAATTTACTAATGAGACTCCAGAGAAGAGACTGAGGCTCTCCACTGTTGGGGGCTCGGACGGGGCTCTGCTGCCACTTGCTGGTGGGGTTGTTGTTGCTGTCACACAACTGGCCACGTCGCTGTTGCTGCAGCAACATGCGCCGCTGCTGCAGAGAAATTATGAATTATTTTTATTGCTGCTGTCAGTTTTGTGCCTAATTAAGTCGCTGCGGCTCAGCAGCAACTGCAGCAGCGGCTGCTGCTGCAGCGGCGGCTGCTGCAGCAGCAGCGGCAGCCACACTGCAGCAGCAAGGCGTGCTGCTGCGTCCTCCGCAGCGCCTTGGCTACCCAAAGGCTCTTGTTGAGGAGCTCAACTTGTTAGCTGGCTAGCCAGTGGCTAGGTAGCCATTCAGGAGCCCTGGGATCGTCTCCTCCCGGGGCTGCAGTTGAGCTGCTGCTGCTGCTGCTGCGCTGCTGCATGCGTTCCCCGGCAGCTGCAGGCCCCAGGCCAGAACCGAGGCTCTTAATAAGAAAGTTACTCACTGTACAGACACCCAGAAGCAACGAGACAGAGGCCAGCTTCAGTGCTTGCTGCTGCGCTGCAGCAGCAGCAACTGCAGCAGCAGCAACTGCAGCAGCAGCAACTGCAGCAGCAGCAACTGCAGCAGCAGATCCGCTTAATGCGGCTCTAATGCGCAGCGGCTGAGCGACTTAAAACGGCACAGCTGCGCGGAAATAGGCCTGCAGCAGCAGCAAAGGCTGCTGCTGCTGCTGCCTCGCCGTAGCAGCAAAGGCCGTAGCAGCAACAGAAGGGCCCACTGGCCCGTAGACTTCTAAAAAACATGAAGACAACACCACCTAACGCTGCTGCTGCAGCCGCTGCTGCTGCAGCTGCTGCTGCTGCAGCCGCTGCTGCTGCAGCTGATGCTGCTGCAGCCGCTGTTGCTGGTGCAGCTGTTGCTGCTGTTGCCGCTGTATCTGTTGCTGCTGCAGCTCTTGCTGCTGCAGCTTTTGCTGGTGCAGTTGTTGCTGCTGCAGCTTTTGCTGCTGCAATTGTTGCTGCTGTAGCTGCTGCTGCTGTGGCTGTTGCTGCTGTAGCTGCTGCTCCTACTCGTGCAGTTGCTGCTGACCCTGCAGCAAATGTTCGCAGCTCTTCCCTCTAAGTGACTCTCCTGCTGCTGCTGCGTGCCTGTCTACAAACAAACTACTTGTGAACTGAGCAGCTAGCCAGCCAGCTAGCTGCTAGCATATAAGCCAGCTAGCTAGGTGCAGCGAAGGCAGCTAGCTGCGCAAAGACTGAAGCGCAGGTGCGCCGCCAGATTTGAGAGACACTGTCTCCGCTGCAGCGTTCACGTGCTGCTGCTGCTGCAGCTGCTAATGCTGCGCTGCTGTTGCGCTGCAGCAGCAGCAGCAGCAGAACAGCCATTCACTTATACGGCAAGAACTGCAGCAGCAAGAGGCACTGGGCGCTGACAAATGAGGTGTCCATACACCCCAAGGCAAAATGCATTACAACGAAACAACTTACAACTCCTCTCCCTTTTGCGTTGCGTCTTGCTGCTGCTGCTGCTGCTGCTGCTGCTGCTGCTGCTGCTGCTGCTGCTGTCCTGCTTCGCCAACGTCTTCGTCTACTGGGACTGTGTAATTGCCCGCGTGGAAAGCGTCGACGTCCTTCTGCACCCTGTAGCAGCAGCAACAGCAGCAGCAGCAGCAGCAGCAGCAGCACAGATATCCAGTCATACCAGAAGCTGCAGCAGCAGCAGCAGCAGCAGCAACAGCAGCGAGCATGCCAAGCCGCAGCAGCAGCACAAGCAGCCTCACTTTTCCCTCATGTCAAGCCAGACGTTCATATTGACGATCTTGGCCTGCGCTCAGCAACAAAGCAGCAGCAGCAGCAGCAGCAGCAGCAGCAGCTTCAGCACTTTCTGCGCTGTGCTTCTTCAGCGAAACGCCGAAGCGCCAGCCTCAGCAACGACAGCAGCAGCAGCAGCAGCAACAGCAGCAGCAGCAGCAGCAGCAGCAACGATGGAGGCTTTCCGTACAGTGTCTGCAGTGAGGCGGTCCCATATGCCGACCTCCTTCTTCCTCAAGGTAACACTGAAGACAAAGCAGCAGCAGCAGCCAGCAGCAGCAGCAACGAGGAGTGCAGCAGCAGCAGCAGCAGCAACTGAAAGTGCAGCAGCATCGGTAACAAAGCGAGCTTCCGCAGCAGCAAAAGGAGCAGCGGCGGTAGCAGCAACAGCAGCAACTCTTACACGACTTTTCCCACGGAGGCGAAATTCCACTTTGTCCGCTGCAGCAGCAGCAGCAGCAGCAGCAGCAAGTGCAGCACAACATGAGCAGCAGCAGCCCCTCGCAGGAGCAGCCCTCAAAAAGCAGCAACAGCAGCGACAGCAGCAGCAACAGCAGCAGCAGCACCGCTCCAGCTCTGCGCACGGCTTGCGAGTGTCGAACTGCCACAGCCCCCAGCAGCAGCAGCAGCAGCAGCAGCAGCAGCAGCAGCAGCAGACCTCCGGAATGATCTCTTTGAAAAGCTGCAGGTCAAGTCTGTACTTTCTCCTCACGCCAGAGTGCTGCGCCAAACCCGTGAAGGAAAATGAGTTGGAGGAACTCGAAAAAGAGCTGTCTTCCAGAGACAGAGCGCCTGCAGCAGCAGCAGCAGCAGCAGCAGCAGCAGCAGCAGCAGCAGAGGCTACAGGGCGCCCCGCCCAAGGCCTGCTGCCAGTCGCCACGCACGGCCAAATGCAGAGCAGCAGCAGCAGCAGCAGCAGCAGCTCACGCAGCAGCAGAAGCAGCAAAGCCTCGCGAGAGCTGCTGTGGGAGCAGTCTCGGAAGCATTGGCGGCTGAAGCAGCAGCAGCAGCAGCAGCAGCAGCAGCAGCAGCCACCAGCAGCACCAAGTCAAAGAGCAGCAGCAGCAGCAGCAAAGTTACCTGGGCTGCTCCATCTGTAGGCAAATTTGATATTCAAAAATATTTCAATCGGAGACTGCGCCCACTGAAAAGCCGGTGACATCCTGCAGCAGCAGCAGCAGCAGCAGCAGCAGCAGCAGCAGCACCAGCAGCAGAAACAAGTTGTTACTGAAGCTTTAATAGTCTGCCTGCACCTCGTTATTCAGCCACAAACTCTTCCAAAGAGGCGGGTAGCCTCTAGCCTGCTGCTGCTGCTACTACTACTGTTGCTGCTGCTGCTGCTGCTGCTGCTGCTGTTGCTGCTGCTGCTGCTGCTGCTGTCCATACACTGCGATGGCGTCGTGCTGCTTGCTCAGCAGCCTCTCAATCTCCGCCAATTGATTTCTTATTCCCGTCACTAAGCGCCGAACGCGGTAGCCCACGTCCACGTCTGCAGCAGCAGCAGCAGCAGCAGCAGCAGCAGCAGCAGCAGATTTGCGGTAGCAGCAGCAGAAGCAAAAGTCCAGTGTCTGCAGCAACAGGGCCACGAGCAGCAGAGGCATCTCAGGCAAAGAACTTCCACAGGCGAACAGACCGCAGCAGCAGCAGCAGCAACAGCAGCAGCAGCTGTGGCTGAAGCCACACAACGCCTGCAGCAGCAGCAGCAGCAGCAGCAGCAACAGCAGCAGCAGCAGCAGCAGCAACAGCTGCATACTCAAGACATGAGACTCCAGGATGAGCTCCTGGGCAAGCTTCCACCAGCCTTTGCTTAGGGCAAACTCTGCATCTTCCCCCAATTGCTGCTCCTGCTGCCTTTGCTGCTGCGAATTTTGCTGCTGTTGCTGCTGCTGCTGCCGCTGCTGCTGCTGCTGCTTCAGCATCGCAATCGCTGCATCTTCTGTTGCTGCACTCAAGAAGCGAGACGGGAGAGGCTCTTCAGCAGCAGCAAATGTTTCGCAAGGAACCAGCAGCAGCAGCAGCGCCGCTGCTAGCAGCAGCAGTGGTCGGGTGGTGCTCAGCATTCTGTGTTGCTGCTGCTCCTGCTGCAGCTTCCGAGCAAAAAACAATGAGCCGATGCTGCTGGTGCTGCTGCTACCGCTGCTGCAGTGGCTGCTGTTGCTGCTGCTGCCGGCGGCGCTCTGTTGACGGTCCCGCTGCAGCTGCCGCCAGCAGCAACAGTTGGCGTTTCTGCTGCTGCAGCAGTCCTGGCGGCAGCTAAACGAGGTGTATATACACCCCAAATAAGGGAAGCTGACAAATCGCAGGCCAGGAGTGTCTACCGATTCCGATCCCTCAGGCGTCCTTGTGCCTATTGACCCTGCTGCTGCTGCTGCTGCTGCTGCTGCTGCTGCACAGTTGCTCCTGCAGCAAAGCTGCTGGTGACTTTGCTTGGTGCTGCTGCAACAGAAAAAACAGGAGACACAATCTGGCGCCGGGCGATCTTAAGGACGGGGGACAAGACACGCAGCTGCAACACCGCGGACGATTGCGTCTGCATGCTGCAGCAGCAGCAGCTGCTGCTGCTGCTGCTGCCGCGGTCACCCGGAGCGCTGCTGCTGCTGCTACTGCCCGTTAGATCGATTTCTTTTTGTGGGTGTGCTTTAGCACTCTTCATCTGCGACTTAATTTCCTCCCGAGTTGCCTTCTTCGGTCATTCTACAGAGGCGCGCTGCTGCTGCTGCTGCTGCTGCTGCTGCTGCTGCAGCTCCCTTCCTCGCCGTCTCTGGAGCCTTCCTGCGGTGTATATACACCTCTTTTTCAGGTTTCTTTTTGTGTGCTGCTGCTGTTCAGCAGCAACCAGGAAACTCTTCTTCACCAGCTCCTGGGGGCCGGACCGAAGCGCCGCAGTCCGCGCTGCTGCTGCTGCTGCTGCTGCTGCTGCTGCTGCTGCTGCTGTACGAAGATGACGTTTTTCACCTGCACGTTGCAGCTGCTGCTGTTTGCAGTTTCGCTGCTGATCCCCACGCTGGTGGCTGTGCGGATGCTGTCAGCAGCAGGCCGCGACGCAGCAGCAGCAGCAGCAGCAATGCGTCTTCTGGAGTACTTCTTGCTGCTGTGCTGCCTGCAGCAGCTGCTGTCGAGTTTCCCCGTGTCGGTGCTGCTGCGGGTGCTGCCCGCCTCGCTGCTGCTGCTGCTGAAGCTCGCAGCAGCAGCAGCACTTGCTGCTCCTGCCCTCGGCCTCCCCTCCAAAGCACTTTGCTTCGCAACAGCTCACTATGAAGAATACTTAAAGGGAGCAGCAGCAGCAGCAGAAGAGAAGATTCTGAAGCCCCTCAAGGCCAACGTGCAGCACGCCCTGGACCTGGCCCGCCAGCGCACCCAGTGACCAGCAGCAGCAGCAGCAGCAGCAGCAGCAGCAGCGGTGCGAGCTGCTGGCCACGCTAGCCAAGTAGACGCAGTGCTGGCTAGCTAGCCAGCTAGCTAGCTGGCCAGCTAGCTAGCTAGCTAGCTGAGGGTCATCTTCTACGCCCTGCGTCTCCAGCCTCCGACCGAGACAGCCAAAGGGCGAATTGTTGCGAAAAACGCACGGAGCAGCAGCAGCAGCTGCTGCTGCTGCTGCAGCAGCAGCTGCTGCTGCAGCAGCAGCAGGAAGTAGGGGCTCTGCGTCATTTGCTCATTTTTCGCTGCTTTGGCGCCAGCCACGAACAGCTGCAGGAACAGTTGCTCGGTTTGCTGCTGCTGCTGCAGGAGCTGCAGCAGCAGCAACAGCAACAGCTGCTGCTGCTGCTGCTGCTGCTGCAGCCCATATGGACTTGGAGGCACAGGCGGCTGCGCCGCAGCGCCGAACTTGCAGAGGCCGCCGGCGGCCCCCCAGAAGCTTAGAGCCAATCAGCAGCAAATAGAAACAATTAAAACAATTAAAAGCAATTTAGAAAAGTTTAAAAACAATTTAGAAATAAATTAGAAATAATTTAGAAATAATTTGAAGTTAATTTCGATATCTCGAGAGAGGCTAGAGGGAGATTGGGGCGGCGCGTTGCAGCAGCAGTTCATCATCGCCCGCTGCTGCAGCAGCAGCTGCAGCAGCAGCAGCCACTGCAGCAGCAGCTGCAGCAGCAGCTGCAGCAGCAGCTGCAGCAGCAGGGCCGGATACTTCGGCGCTGCTTTAAAAAGAAGCAGAAGCGGCTTTAAATGGACTTCTTGGAAGCATTTTGTTTGGAAGAATTTCTGCACTTTTGCAAAACTCCGGAACTGCGCATTTGGGCGCAGGTGTACATACACCCCAGCTGCTGCAGCAGCTGCTGCAGCAGCTGCTGCAGCAGCTGCTGCAGCAGGAAAAAAGCAATTTTCGGCAAATTGAAGCAAAAGAAATAAATTAAATAAAAGGCATTTTAAGGAACTCGAAAAAGACAAACTTTTCCCCGAAATGCAAGTCAAAATGCATGCAAAAAGCCCCGCGAACTTCTCCACTTTTTGCAGATTTTCTCCGAAAAAAAATTCAAAAAAGTACTTCTTGAAATGCTTTTGGGGGGAAGTGCATTTAGTTATATTTGCAGATTATCTTTAATGGATTTATGTTTTATCTGCTTCATGTTTAGTCTTATTTATATTATTTCATTTGTAAATAAAAAAGCTGTTAAATCTAATACAATTAATATTATTTGGTTTATAAATAAAAAAGCTATTAAATCTAATGTAATTAATATTGTTTCATTTATAAACAAAAAAGCTATTAAATCTAATATAATTAATATTATTTCATTTATAAATAAAAAAGCTATTAAATCTAATATAATTATTATTTCATTTATAAATAAAAAAGCTATTAAATATAATATAATTAATATTATTTCATTTATAAATAAAAAAGCTATTAAATCTAATATAATTAATATTGTTTCATTTATAAACAAAAAAGCCATTAAATCTAATACAATTAATATTATTTCATTTATAAATAAAAAAGCTATTAAATCTAATATATATAATATGCATTGAGAAGCATCAAAAGTCCATTTAATGGAACTTTGAATTAAATGGACTTTTTTGAATAAACATTTTTGTTCTTTTTGAATAACTTTTTGTTTGAAGAAATTTCTTCCCAAGATTTCCCTGAGGCGGAACTGAAAGACAAGACGCCGCCTCCAGAGTAAAGGGCCCCTCGCTGCTTCTGCTGCTGCTGCTGCTGCTGCTGCTGCTGGTCATGCTGCTTCTGCTGCTGCTGCTGCTGCTGCTGGTCATGCTGCTTCTGCTGCTGCTGCTGCTGCTGCAGCGCGCCCTGCCTCTCCGTGGCCTCAAAAGGCGACACGGAGATGACAAGGGCTCTCAAATTCAACAAAGGCCGGCTGCAGCAGCCGCAGCAGCAGCAGCAGCCGCAGCAGCAGCAGCAGCAGCAGCAGCCGCCGCAGCAGCAGCAGCAAAAGGGGCTACGAAGCCCGTGAGGCCCTGCGACAGAGGGAACGGCGCGGCGCTTGAAGCAGCTCCGAGCCAAACCCTAAACCCTAAACCCTAAACCCTAAACCCTAAGCCCGCGAATTAGAAGGCCACTGCTGCTCTGTCTCGTTTGTGTCCCCAACTAATTGGATGTGTTTCTTCTGTTGCTTCTTCATCGACTCTCCAAATCTGCAAACACAGCCAGACGCGCTCAGGTGTACGTACACCTCAGCCCCACACCCCACAAGCGCTCAGCAGCAGCAGCAGCAGCAGCAGCAGCAGCAGCAACTGCTGCTGCTGCTGCTGCTGCTCTCGCTCGGCCGCCGCCACTACTACTGCTGCTGCTGCTGCTGCCGCTGCTGCTGCTGCTGCTCTCGCTCCGCCGCCGCCACTACTACTACTGCTGCTGCTGCTGCTGCCGCTGCTGCTGCTGCTGCTCTCGCTCCGCCGCCGCCACTGCTGCTGCTGCTGCTGCTGCTGCTGCTGCTGCTGCGAATTGGCGCACCTTGATGGTTTTGTCGCACTCCCCAGTAATGAGTCTCGTCTCGGACTTGTCGAAGGCGCAGCAGAAAATTCCGTTTTCACTTTCCAAAGAGCCCGGCTGCACTCGCGACTGCAGCGTCTGGTACTTGTAGCCCGAGCGCCAGTCCCAGAAATGCAGCTGCCTGCGCCAAACCCTAAACCCTAAACCCTAAACCCTAAACCCTAAACCCTAAACCCTAAACCCTAAATGCACAGCTTCGCGCTTTGCAGTCCGGATATCCCGCGCCCTCTCCCCTGAACCCTGAAGCGCACTCCTGGAGCCCCGGGACCCAGACTTTACAGCGAAGCTCCAAACCCTAAACCCTAAACCCTAAACCCTAAACCCTAAACCCTAAACCCTCACCCGTTGTTGCTGCCGACTACCAAAGACGACCTGTCGCCCTCGTCGCGGAAGGCGCAGCAGTTGGGAATGGAGTTGAGGCCATCGATGTTCCGCTCAAAGGCCCCCAGAGGGCACCGCCAGGCCTACAGCAGCAGCAGCAGCAGCAGCAGCAGCAGCAGCAGCAGCAGAAGGCAGCGCAAGCCGGTCGCGGCGAGGTGCAGCTGGCGAGCTTCCGCTCTAAGACGATAAGACCAGCAAAGCAGCAGCAACGGCAAGCTCCTCGTGGTGCTAAACCCTAAACCCTAAACCCTAAACCCTAAACCCTAAAACCCTAAACCCTAAACCCTAAACCCTAAACACCCTAAACCCTAAACCCTAAACCCTAAACCCTAAACCCTAAACCCTAAACCCTAAACCCTAAACCCTAGGTACCTTGACTTTGTCTGCGCCGCAGGTGGCGAAGGAGTACTCTGTGGGGTGCAGCGCGACTGCCCTGACACTCTTTTTGTGGTTTGTCAAAGTGGCCTCGCATTTGCCCGCAGCAAGATCCCACAAACGCACCTGCAGCAGCAGCAGCAGCAGCAGCAGCAGCAGCAGCAGCAGCAAGTCCAGTGGCGGCACGACTGCGGTTTTGAAGCAAAAGGGGACAAAGAAAGAAAGAGATGAAAGAGGGAAAGAAGGACAAAAGAGTTTACGAAAAAAAGAAATAAATAAAAGAATTGAAGAAAGAAAGAAAAGAAAAAAAGCCAAAAAGGAAAAAAGAAAAGCAGCAAAAGGGCAACAAAAGCGGGGCCAAGAGGGGCAGCAAAAGAAATAAAAGAGGGCCAACAAGAGGGACAAAAAGAAGAAAAAAAAGTAAAGAGACAAAAAGAAACAAAAAGATGAAATAAAAGCAGAAAAGGGCGCAAAAAGAGGCCAAGAAATGGAAATAAAAAGAGAAAAAAGCTGGTCCAAAACTAAACCCCAAACCCTAAACCCTAAACCCTAAACCCTAAACCCTAAACCCCAAGTCCTAGGCCCAAAAAGGCGAAAAAAGGCGCTAAAAGGGCCCAAAACCCCACCCCCAAAAACCCTCGCCCCAAACCCTCGCCCCAAACCCTCGCCCAAACCCTCGCCAAACCCTCGCCAAACCCTCGCCAAACCCCCCTTGTGACCCCTCGTTGGAATCATCTGAAAACCCTCTCCAAACCCTCTCCAAACCCTCTCCAAACCCTCTCCAAACCCCTCCAAACCCCCCCTCATGACCCCTCGTTGGACCCCTCTCGAAACCCTCTCCAAACCCTCGCTAAACCCTCTCCAAACCCCCTCCAACCCCCCCTTATGACCCCTCGTTGGAACCCTCTCCAAACCCTCTCCAAACCCTCGCTAAACCCTCTCCAAACCCCCCCTTATGACCCCTCGTTGGACCCCTCTCGAAACCCTCTCCAAACCCTCGCCAAACCCTCGCTAAACCCTCGCAATTCCGCGAAAAGCCTTACGGTTTTGTCCTGCGAAGCAGAAATCAAGTGCGGCCGCAGCGCCTGCGCCCGCAGCGCCATCACAGTGCCCCCGTGGCCGGCTAAGACGAAGACGTTTTTTTTTGTGCGTAAATCCCACACGCGCACTGCGGCGTCGCGGCCGCCCGAACACAGCACGTCCACGCTCGGGTGCAGCGCGAGGGCGTACACGCCTGCGCACACACACGCTGCTGCTGCTGCTGCTGCTGCTGCTGCTGCTGCTGCTGCTGCTGCTGCTGCTGCTGCTGCGGAGGG